CCATTTGCGGTCGTTGCTATCTGGGGTCTATGCCGGTATCATTGGTGATTTCTTCAAAGTTCACAAGTTCGCAATTCGCTTCCAATTGCAATCTGGTGTCCTTGAATTTTGCCGTACAAAATTGCAATTCCTGCAACCTGGATGATGCCAGAGTAATGAATACCCAAAGTTCCCCTACAAAATGGTCAAAAAATATTTCTTACAGAATGATGTCCCTTAAAATTGATCCCAGGACACCACATGTTGTAAGGGAAATGTCAACAACGATGCAAAAGCTTCAAATGCAGCAAAAGCAGCAAAAGCAAAAAACATAGGATATATAAATACCAACCCCCTGCAAAATGGGAGTAGTGTACCGACCACTGGGCACCCCAGACACAATCGCCAGCTCCACGGACATCTGTTGGTGGAGCCACATCCGAGGATAGCTCAGAAGCACCTGTCGTTATGGTGAAAGGTCACCATGGATCTACTTTAACAGCGCTATCATGCAAGCGCTTCGGGAGGGGCTCACGATTTTTGCAGCCAATGACTCACCCAGTTAAGTGTCCAAACCAATCCAGGTGATCTCAAATTGAATCGCAAATGGTGGTCATTCTCCCCAATGCCCGGATCCGCAAAACGGGATCATGGAGGGGGCCATTCAATCACAGGTCCAGGTGCATCTCTCATGTCCGCAAAAATACAACATATCCGGAGTGCTCATAATCAGTGTTTTTACATGTGGCCGCAAGGTCATGAGACCTAAAAAACCTGCCCAAGAACAAACCTTCCCCCAAAAAAATGGTAAAAGGGGGGTTCTGGGGAGGATTTGTTGGTGTGTTGCTTGTTATGATTGTTTGTTGATGTTCAATGTGTTTTCCTTGCTGTTGATGTTTTATGTGTGGGGGGTTCTGGGGGAAATTTGGTGCTAAAAATCACTCTGTTCGGTGATAATGGATGAGGTTAAGATTTGTTTAGGCTTGTTGTGTTTTATGTTTGGGGTTCTGGGTTTGAAGGATTAGTTCATAATATGTGTAGTTAAGATTTTATGAATTAATCCGTGTCTCCATTTTTCATCATCTTTTCTTGTTCCATCCCAATATTCAGATACAATCGTTTTGATGTTGTAGAACACTAAAATGATTGTATCTCTATCCACAGTTCGTTGCTGAACCAAATGACCCAACACAGTCAATAGTGAATAGTAATTGTTTTTTTAGTGCTCTCATTCCTCCCCGTTTGTGTATCATTTCACCGTGTTTTCTGACTAACTGTTTATCAAAGATGTTTTCATAAATTTCCTTCAAAAGGTCGTGGTTTATTTCACCATACTCTGCGTATTGGTCCAAAGACTTTTCTTGGTTCAGTAGCAGGTCATTGGATACAAACTTATAATCAGGATATGGGTTTTCCTTTATGAAGTTCAACAGTCTCTCCCTATCTCTTTGTAATTCTTCCTCACTTACTCCAATCATAGGCATTTTTCCTTACTATATATGTAGGTAGTTTTTTCTTTAAGTGTTTATCACCCTTTGTAGGTGCTCTTCTATTTATGTTTCATTGATGTAGTGTTCATAATACCTGAAGAGTTCTTTGAGATATTCACGCAAGAAGATTTCCAAGATGTCCTTTATTATGAGCGTTCGGTTTCTAAAAACATAAGTGCCTTCAAGGTCAGAAAGCCACCATTCACGTGTCTTTTACTTCTATTCATAAATTCAAGGTCGTGAAAGAAATAAAGGAGGTTCTCAATACAATCAATATATTTCTTCACATAAGATACGATTGCTTGTAGAAATACCTTATCGTGCTTGAACCTTTCCTTCAATGCTAGTGTGCCCATCAACGTGTCTATCTGTCTCTTCATCCTTCTCTCTGTCTTTACCAGTCATATTCAAACAAATGGGTGTTGGCATCTCTGATTGGAAGAAGTCTATTTGCTCTTCCGTTGTTGTATGTCTTTCGTAGGCGTACCTGTTGGATTCGTTTTCCTTGAAGATTAAGTTATTACATTTGAAACAGTGGGTGTTGTAATCACATATCATATCGCAAATTCCGGCAGGGAAAAGATTGTTCAACACAACCTTCACGTTGGAACTTTTATCTCTACAACATCTACACTTTTCATAATTAAAACTCATCTCTTAATATATATAGTTAATTTTTCTTTAAGTAGTTTTTGGTGGCTGGTTCATTTTTCGGGTTCTGGTTGGTTTTCTTTTTCGCCAGATTAGAGGTTATAGAGGTTCAAACTCATATACCGCCCCGTTCTCAAGGTTTGAGTATCAAATTGAAATAATGCATATGAAGCCTTTAACCAAAGTTCCGGAGGCAAAAATACCAATGAAGAATTCCGAGCCACCCTATGCTTTAGTCGTTATAGATATTTTTACTAAGATGGGCGACGTCGTGCCTATGAAGCAGAGAGACGGAGAAACGGTCTTACCTGCGTTGAAGCAAAGTTTCAAGAAGATTGGTTTTCCAATGAGTATATATTCAGATGACGATGGTGCTTTCCAGACGGTAGTGTCAAAGTTTTTTAAGGACGAAGGCATAAATCACATCATCACAAGAACACACGCCAATGTCGTGGAGCGTTTCATCAGGACACTTAAAAATATGATACACGACAGGGTCAGATTTAATAAGGCAGGATGGACGAGTATGCTTCCACTCGTCTTGAAGAAATCCAACAGCACCAAACACTCATCCACAAAACTCACACCCAACGAAGCCCACGATGATAAGAACCATATGGACCATGTAAAGGTAAATCTGACAAGAAGAGAAAAGAACACGAGGAAGTATGAGGAGATAAAAGAAAACGATACAGTCAAAACCTTTACCAAGGGAAGAGGGAACTACACCGACAGGAAAGAATACAGTGAGGAAGATAGAATACGACCCGACAGGAAACAGAACCTTTCAACTGGAAGGATTGACTAAACCCTTCCTTCGCCACGAGATAACAACCTCAAAACATTTAGCGATAAAACAAAAACATCACATTTAGAATTACAACATTGAACAAAAGCGCAACAAGCCTAAACAATCAGCCACCTCATTGAATAACTAGAAACAGAGTGATGTTTAGCACCAAAATTTCCCCAGAACCCCCCACACATAAAACATCAACAGCAAGGAAAACACATTGAACATCAACAAAAAATCATAACAAGCAACACACCAACAAATCCTCCCCAGAACCCCCCTTTTACCGTTTTTTCTCCCCACCTCGGCAAGGCCATCCTCCGGATCGGCCGCCTGGCGCAGCTGGAGGCTGCAGGCCTCAGCGTGCCAGCTCGGTCGGGACGTCACAGGTGACGTTAAGCCCTCCAACTGTGATTAAGAGATATCGGGATATCTTCAGAAGCCTTGAGAATGAAAAATGATAAGTTCTCTCCAGCTGCAGCATCTGGCAACGAGACGGACATCTCAGCTTTTTTGTGGCGCAAAAGGGGAAAGGAAGGAATGATGGGGGGATGGTGCCCACAAAGACTTTGGATTCATTGCCTTGTGTCTTGCTTTTGCTGGAAGGGGTTTTCGTTTGAGGGACGTCGTCGCCATGTTCCTTTCTCCGCTTTCGACCTGTCCTCTGGCTCCCGACCTGGGACTGGTGACCTGGTGGTTTGGTAAGAAGAACGAAGAAACACCAAGAGAACCGAAGTCCGTGTTGGGATCCATCCTCGCTGTCAGTTAATTGACTTAAGAAACTCTAGTCAACCTTGAGCCTCCCCATCACCGCCCCTCACAGCTATCAACAACATGAGAGAGAGAGAGAGAGACATGAATGAGAGAGAGAGAGAGACATGAATGAGAGAGAGAGAGAGACAGAGAGTTGGTGAGAGTGAGAGTGAGAGTGAGTGTGTCAGCAAAGTCCCCAACGCCAAAGTAGCTACCTGACCAAAGCCCAGCTTTTCCAGCTGCGCGTTTCGTCCAACCACTCCAAGGGCTCCAGACCGCAGAGATCAACTCCAAGGGCGGCGCCAGTCCTACCTCGTGCGGCGCCAATCCGGAACGGCCGTGGTGCATGACGCACCCATACCGAACGACGGACCGGACGGACGCCACCGAAACCGGTTTCGGAAACAGTCGAAGTCTGTTTTGAACATGGAGATGTTGCGCATCTGAAGACACGTGGCTTCCCAGCACAGGGTGATGCTGCATCGAAAAGGTGGTGTAAGTCGCATCATGAATGCCAAACATGAAGGATAAGAAATCATGTATATACAGTATCTTCGATCAACTACGGGAGTGCGTCGCTCTTCGGCCTTTCAAAGAAACCCGTGTCAAACATCCCCACAAAGGAGCTTGGAACTACAGGAAGAACCTTTGGTTTGGGACAAAATTGGCTTTTACCATGTTTCAGCCACCTGTCTAATGTGTCTGGGTGATGCCCAAAAACAGGGAGAGAACTTGAAAACATCCTGCGCAGAAATCCCACTCTGCTTCTCCCTTCTCTTCGGTCTGGTCTTTGGTCCTGGGATTATTTTTGAGGACCATCACATCCACCCTGCCCACCATCAAATCCACCCTGGAACCCCGACACCACCATCATGTCCCAAGCTGGGCCCTTCCAGGAGCTCCGCCAGGCCCGTGGGCAGCGTATCTGGCGTATCGCGAGGTGGAAATGGGTGAAGGGCTCCGTGTCCAACAAACGATTTTGATCACAGGTCTTCATCTGCAAAAAAGGTCTCCACATGTTCATGAAGGCCTTCAGAAAAGGCGGTGACCCGAAATGGCTCACATCATCTCACATCTACCTGAATCCATTCACCTACTACATAGACATGTGAATAAGCTCACAGATCAGGCCCACCATCGTGAATCACGTCAAGGCACACCCTTTTCACTTCTCTACTGCTCGCGTGTGCAGCATGCGCGCACGACAGTAGATGCTGCAGTTCAAGATCACCATCACTCTGGAGGTGCTTCTTCAGATGGATTGCAGTCTCACTGCAGGTCACCAGCTGTGATGACTACCCCTAGAATGACTGCTTAGAAACACTGGTGTCTCTTGTGTGCGCATTTCGAGTGCCAAAGATAGCGCGCTACGTATTCATGCTACGCGGAGTCGTCACCTGCTGGAATCCCAAAAGGGCCGCCACCTGGCCGAAAACCAGAGGGCCTAGCGCATAAAAGGACGTCTCCAAACGCATCGCTTCTCCCATTCACTCCTGCTGGACTCGTTGGCCTGGCGACTGACTTCGCCACATGCGTGGTGTAAACGGACGAGTCTTGTGGAGCAGGGAGCCTGGCCCCTCGAAGGAAATCAAATAAAAAATGGAGGATCACGCGGTTTTTGGACGGAAAAGGCGGAAAACATGGCAAACAAACGTTCCGTGAAGCCAGGTTGGACCTCAGTGTCGAATCCTTCGTTGGACCCTCAGACCTAGGGCCCCAAAACACAAATGGGTTTCGACCATCACAGACCACTACATCACAAGAAAAAAAGATTATACCGGCATAGACCCCAGATAGCACTTCAAGAAAGGTTGGAACCCCAGACCTAGCTTCCAGCTATCTGGGGAAAAAAGGACCACACTCCTGGTCTACCCCAAAACACTTGGTTTACCAACACCCACACGACTGCCGTCCTGTCACCGCGTGCGTCGGTCGCGTCGGTGGTGGCTCCGTGCGTCAGTCGCGCCGGTCGCGTCCGTCTGCCTGAAGCTCAAACACCCCGAGCTGCCTGAAGCTGCCGGCTCAGGGAGTCAGCAAACGACATCATGAGATGGCCCTGCTACAAACCGTCCATCATCGGGTCATCGTGCTTCGCTTCATCGTGAAGACCCTCCCAATGCAAAGCCGCCACCATCGACTCTCACGAACGTTGTGAGGGCAGTCGGACACCCTCCTCGCGACCCCCTCGCGACCCATCACCTCCAAGTTCACGTCTGTCCCCACCTTCACAACACTCTCAGCCTTCAACGAAGTTCGCCTTCATTCACTTTTTCTGTCCCCTTATTCCTCGTCCCACGTCTAACGCCAGATCCATGGGCCTTTTGTGCAAAGGTCTCCATTGCATAGGATGCCAAGTTCTGAAGGCCACGGGAAATGGCCTCTGCCTGCAGCGGACTGCTGGATCAGAGGGCGCTATGATTTCATCAGAAGACATAGGTCCGGTCCCGTCATTGGTGTCCAAGAAAGGGTTTCGAAACGCCGGGAGAAACGATCATAATGGACTCACACATAATAGCATCCAAAAAAAGGTACACCCATCTATCAGAATCACCTTCATTCTTTCTGCTTCTTTCCTTGTCGGTCCAGACCTGGCACAACCCTCGCCTCAGCTGCTTCGCCCGCCTTCTTCAAACCACCTCAACGAATCCAACGATCGACCGAGGTGGTGGCCCAAGGACGTGCAGGAGGAATAGTTCACAAGGATTCCAGAAGTTGGTTCATTCGCAACTCCATCTGTTGGAGAAGGATCCCTGGCCCAAGACTTGTGGTCAGCCACCGCACTGATCAGTCTCATATATGCTGTGTTCAGACCAACTCATTTTGGACAGCTACTTCCCAAGAAACCATCCCATTGGTGGGACAGTGCGGTCATCCTTTTCAGCCTTTTGTTGCTTCGAAAGATCACCACGGGGCAGATTCCGCCGGTGGGTCGTCTCGTGGGCGGCCGGGGGCGTCTGCGGGGGCGTCCGCGGGGGCGTCTGGGGCCCCAAACCGAAGCTTCGCGGCACATTGACCAAAGGCCTCGAGACACGGGACACAAGAGTCACGTCTGTCTGATCGGTTTCAGCCGGTTGTGGTTGTGGTTTAGGACGACTGGCTCGGGTTAAGGTGCCGGGTTAAGCAGCAGAGGAAAGTGAAGGTTGGGATTCTTCGGGATTTGGGGTATGGTCCGGAGTCTGGGTTGCCAGATAAAAGCTGGACAGGTCGGACGGGAAAGCTGGTCCACCTGAAGAAGCAGAGACGCAGGTTGAGACACTCCAAGACTCATCTCATTGCATCTCATTACTGGACTTGCACGTTTGAGGGCCCTGGACTTAAATCCTGACTACTCCAAACACACCCAGCCATTTCACGCAGCCCACCCCACACAGCATAGAGCGGCAGAGGGCCTGAGAAAGTGACCGGGCCACAATAAATTCAATGACTGATCGCAAGCCACCCTTTCCACCCCATACCTTCTAGACAAAAACAGCCTCCAGATGACCTCAGGAGGGGTTTTCCCACATCCTTTGCGTGTGTTTATAATCCTTCGGAGCGGGAAGCACAGACATCGCTGCCGCGGAAAGCGTCTCCTCACCCCGAGTCGCCGCGTTTTCAGCGTCTCGGCCAGGCCACGTCGGGGTCTTGGTCTTCACGGAGTCCTTGGGCTTTGGGCCTTTGGCCTTGACCACCTCGCGGCTCATCTGGACGAACCTGAGCCGCGGGAACTGCCGTGGGAACCGCCGCGGGAACCGCCCACGCGGTCCAAGACACGCGCGACGAAGGTCATTGGGACGAGCCACACGGCAGGAAAGGTGGCTTGAAGGTTGGGGTGGCCGATCCTGACTCCCGGGAAAGCCCCTTGTTGCTAGTAGCTTCTTGCTCCTAGTAGTACGGCCAGGAGCCCCTAGTAGCGTCCTTGCTCCTAGTAGCGATGCCCTTTGCTACTAGTAGCTTCTTGTTACCGGAAAGCCCCTCTGGGTCCAAATTCTTGGCCGAGGCCCAGGGCTGAAAGTCCGCTGGTACCGCATCTGTTTCTCCATCATCCAGTCTCTTGGCCGAGGCACGCGATGGAGGCATCACCTGCATGGGCCCAGACTGAGGTCGCAAACCAACTAAATCAAAGGAAATGTCTTTGATGAATTCCCTCCGAAAACTCATCATAAAGCAGTTCAATGCTTGCCTGTCCTAGTTTGACATCTGAGACCGCTTTCTTCTTTGATCCAGTTCCCTGGTGTTCCCACGGAGGACGCTGGGGACCCGTGGGACCGTTCCCAGCTGTGCCTGGCTCGCACTCTTGGGCCCCATGGACCCCTTGGGCGGCGGCCACAGCAAGCAGCACAGAAATTGCGATACCTCAGCAGATGGGTGAAGATCTCAAAGGACACAAAGACATCGTTCCAGCGTCAAAACGAGGGGTTGAAGTGGGTTTTTTGGAGCTTATAGACGGAATCTACTACAGTAGTTCAATGTAGTTGGGACTCCCTTGGCCAATTACTCAGAGCTTCATCTTTAAAAGCCACAAGTCGTGTAAGTCCATCGTGCGCTGGGGGAATAGAAGATTTGCAGGTTACATTGGAAAAGCACCTCCTGCGCCGTGGAATAGCATGTCCGGGACTCAGTTTGTGTGCTTGTTTCCCATTGCGGTGATCTTCTACTTCCATGCTAAACAGGTTTGCTAAAGAACATAAAGCACCACACTCAACAGCAGCCCACAACTGGAGAGGATCCAAGGATCCATGGCTTTTACATCACTCATATTCTATGCAAACCACTCACGGAACCAATCCGGGGAAGTTCCCATGTTTTCGAGTGCAGTCTGAAGGTTTTCGACTTCAAGCCAGCCAATGGCATGTCACCTGTATGCCACTTTCATCCACACCCGCCCACACCCGGAACAGCAGAACGGTCCACCCGGATTCATTTTTGTTCACCGAGCGGCGCAGAAACATGGCGACGTTCACGCGGAGGTTCCGAAATCGCTCTGTTGGATAAAGCCGACATGCAGCGACATGCAGGGCATGGTTTTGATTCAGAGGTGCATTTGAGCAGTGGCCTACTGTAGACCTTTATCGGGATGTCCAGCGATACCAGAATGATTAGACTACTAAACCAGGTGATCCCGTACCACGTGACAAAACACCCAAGTTGGCGCATGCCGTAGACAACCAGGTTCTTCAAGATAACTATAACCCTCTGCGGCTGGTGATGTTTTGACCACTAGATTGCTATCAATCTATTGTGCTTCCACTCAATTCTAACTTAGACTGCATGGCAACAACCAGGTCAAGACTGTACCGCGGCCAAGCACTTTCTACAGATTCTGCAGGGTTCCTTCTACTGCTTTTGTTCCATTTTGTGATGCATGTCCGTCTTATGAAGAAGATAGACAATTCCCAGGAAGATGCCCAGACAAAACAACCCAAGCGGAACATGCAGTTGCAGATCTCCATCCACATCCATCATCGATGGCCAATCGAAAACGCCTGCATCGTGGAACGCCGCAGCCAGGGTCTCCGAGAGCAGCCGCCGCAAAAGGCTGCGCCCTGCGATCTCGCAGCCGCAGCGACCAGGCGATGGAAATTGAAACTAGCGACCGTTCCGATTTCGGTACAATGACACATCAGATGGAAGTGGCACCCCGTGTTCGCAGAGGAAAGTCACCTTTCAAGGGGCCATTCCAAGAAGTGTAGTTTGATTGGCGAAGACATGGCGGGTGTCATCCTGAAAGAGAGGAATTCTCCGAAGGTCCCAATCCAAACCGGCACGAAAAGCTCCAAGCGGCCGTCTCTAAACAATTATACAGTACATCTATTGTGGAGAATCTTCGCCTGGCACATCCTATCACATTTCTTCATGTGTATGACCCTGTGCTGCCAAATCATAGAGAGTACAGTCCTGTTCCCACAGAGACAAGGTGTAACCCCTCCAGGAGACAAGATGAGTGTCACCGCCGAGATGTGTGTGTGTGTGTCGACATGAAGACGGTCGACCTCCGTCTCGACGGTCGACCTTTTGTACTTTTGTGTGGCTTGGTACCGAGAGAGAGAGAGAGAGGCGCACACAGACGCCAATCAGCGAGGAGACGGACCGGTCCCCTGGATCCCCGGTTCGCGAACCGGAGACCGCCCGCCTAAGCGCGCCCAAACGATCTCATGTTGCTCCCGCGGCATGGAGGCCCAGACCTCCCAGCCGAGAGGGTAGGTGGGAGACTTTTGAGCTCCAGTCGCCCCAAAAGGCACATGAGAGTTTAAGAGGACTCTGTGTGACAAACTTTGGGGATGCTCCAATCACTGCTTTGCTTGGTGATGGTATTCCCATTCTGCTGACCCGCATCCTGCAAGATCTTGGGAAACTAACCCTGAAAATTCACTGCAACTGGGTTGCCTGTGCAGGCTGGAGGGGCGTTTTTCCACCTTCATATCAGGGTATCCAGAGAGCCTCTCTTCTAGGTGTCCAGTTTCCAGCCATCCACTTTAATCCACTTTCCATAGATCATAGACATAACATAAGAGCTCCAATCGCAGTACAGCCGTTGGTGCTTTGGCCACTGCCTGCACCTGGCGAAATTAGGAAGATGTGGGTGCAGCAGAAGTACGCACACTTGTACCAGAAGTAAGAGAAACATAAGGGGAACTCACAGAGTGGCAGTGACGACTCTTTCTTT